GCGATGGCTCCCAGGAGCAGGAGGTTTTTGTAGGTTTCCATGACCCAAAATCTTGTCTCACCTGCTCCTGCACTCTCAGTCAAGCTGCAAATAAATCCTTGCGATCCGGAAGAGCTGCAAAAATATACAAGAAAAAAAAAAAACTGAAAAGATTTCAACATGTGTGTGACATGTGGTAAAAAAGGAAGCATGGTGAAGAAATGTGGCAAGGACCATGAAAAAAATGGTGTGTGTGTGTGTGTGTTTGCCTCTGGCTTTTTATCACTGTCTCTTTCAAACATATCAGTTTCTATTTTTTACTCCCTCGAATAATGCACAGAAAATAGAACACCTTACAAGGAAGTGGCTATACGAGCTTGCCAAAAACAGTTTCATCACCAGCCTCTTTCTAAGCCGAAGAGACTCTTGTGTTGGTTTAACAAGGAGAAAGAAAAAAAAACTACTGATCTCCTGAAGGCAGGCGGTGATGATAGAGCCAGACTCAGTTTCTAACATGGTGGGGATCACATGTTGTGCATCTGCAGCCAGAAGTGGCTCAAACACCGACAGGATGTTCAGTTTTTCACATAAGCGGGAAGAATTGTAGACGGTTGTGATACAAGCGTTGGGGCCGCAAATACACGACAAAAACACTGTTTTCACAAATACACACACATTTCTCATCCATGTCAGACAAGATTAAATAAGAGATTTGCTCACTGTTCCTTAACGATGGATTATAGATTCGACTTCATCGTGTGCAGCAGCTGAAACACACAGTGTATTTTCTATAAACAGGGAACAACACGGATCTGATCCGTTCAACTCAGATGTTAATTCTGTGCTTGTTGTCGCTCCAAAGTTTCTTCATAGGCAGCGAACGTCTTACGTTCACCCAGCTGTGCTAACAAGCCATCATTATTCCTGCGACCCACTGCGCTCAGAGTGCCAGAGCTTTAGTAATCACACGTCGAGGGCAATAAAACACCGCCTGAGCTTTTTATCTTTTATAATAGAGCGTACAGATAATAAACTAATTCATTGAAACAGAATAGGAACAATGGGCTTTAATGTCAGGAAGTTTTGTTACAACGTTGGGACGTCCAGATCACATCTGGAAGAACGGAGTCACTGCAGAACAGATGGGGGCTCATCATCTCCACAGATATGAGTGGTTGTGTGTAAGGGGGCTTCTTTAAATCAACTTTTATTCATTTTATTTTTTGATAAAATATAGTTGTCTACTATTATGATTGATTAACCTTTTTACAATCAAGGAATACATATGAAACAAGAAGTATCTAAAGCAAGTTTATCACATTGAACTATTTATTTACCAAATCGTCACTTAAAGGGTTAAACGTTCTTTGAAAAAAATAACAAAGTCAAGATATTTAGCTTTTGTTAGGACACATTGCCTTTTTGGTATATTTTGTCTCATCCAGATTAGGTTATTGTTGATAAAATGAAGAGGGAAAAGAAGTCATTTGATCCTCGGAGAATAACCTAAAAGTGAAGTTTACCTTGTATGTTACAAAAGCATTGATTTGTGGAGAGTAAAAACTGTTTTATAAAAAGGTGATTTTGTCTTGTAGGATGAAGAATTTAGCAGTACTGTAAAATAATCTCTAATTTGCTCCTAAAATCTAATAAAAAATATGTAATACATTTAGAAACTTACCACAGAAAGTGTTTAACACTAGTAGAATAAATAAAAATAATTTACAATTGAGACACAACAATAAAATATTACTAATCATAAAAAACATGAATACATTAAATAAACTATTCATAAAAAAGCATATTTTCTACGTTTTATGCCAAAGACTTAAAGAAATATCTTGTGCAATTCATTTAGAGTTTGTGTTTTCTAAAGGTGATTAGCTGTGGCCACCATCTTAAATCTGACTGCTGTTATCATAAAAGTACATGCAATGATTACTTTCTAAGGGTTTCAATAAAATGCATGCAGTGGTTTGTGAAATATTTTTCAAACCAATACGGGAATTTGTAGAAACACGCATACACAATCTAATAAAACTAATGACAAATTATAATAAATAATTCTGATGTTTTCAGGAGACAAATATAAATTAAATGGGAAAACATGAGTAATTATTATTAAAATTTATATTAAACTACCCGTTGGGATCATCTGTTTCTAGTTGAGCTGATTTATGCACAGGCTCTGTTAAAACTGTGGGTTTCATACGGTTACATTTTCATTTAAAATGCAAAAATAAAATTTCTACGGAAAATCAGCTCACATTAGAAACATAGGTTGGTGATTTCCTAGTGAAGAATTATTAAAAGTGTTACGTCAAAAGCAATCATCCATTATCTTTTACCCACTTCTTCTTGTTTGGGTCATGGGGGTCACTGGTGCCCATGTCCAGCCATCACAGTACGAGAGGCGTGGGACACCCTGGACAGGTCTCCAGTCCATCACAGGGACACATAGAGACAAACAAGACAAACACTCACTCTCTCACTCACTCCTAGGGACAATTTAGAGTTACCAATCAGCCTAACATGCATGTTTTTGGTCTGTAGGAGGAAACCCACACATGCACAGAGAGAACATGCAAACTCCACTCAGCAATGTCCCAGGCTGGGATTTGAACCGACGATCTTCTCACTGCGAGGCAACAGCTCTACCAACTGAGCCACCGTGCCGCCCCAACATCAACCAAAACAAGACTATTTATGAATTGGCTATTATATCCCTTGAATTGACATTAAACTAATTCTTGAGCTCATATTTCAACTTGTTTCTCTGGACAGTTTGAATGTTTTATAATAAGCCGCCTTATAATCCTGGTCGGCCTTCAACTACATCAAGTCACTCACATTGTTTGCTGGCAGAAATATTTGAAACATGCTACACAAAGACATAAATATTAAGTTGGTTCATATGTTCATTCTACATTCATAAAGACTTAGTACCAGTTTCTGAAGAAGAGCATAAAAAAAAAACTTGAGCAACAAAAATGCTTGTACTATAATCTCTGATTGATCAGCATAAATCCTTTGACACTGACGACATATCACCCATATTCATGCAGCACAAGCACTGCGTGTTTCATCAGAAACAGAGACAAAGACCGTCATTTGGTTAAAGTGTTAGAGACAAATGAACTGATGAGGTATGCAGCGTGCAGAAGAAGCAGGTCGCTGCACAGTTCATACAAGCGTGTACATCTACACAGGATCTTGTTCTGGTTTTTTTATTTGGAAGACAAAAATGCATTGTTTGAAAATTATTTTTTGTCTCTCTTCCTCCTTTCTAACGTTAGATCTTTTCTTTTCCTCTTCCTCTGTTTCTGTTCAACGGTCTGTGTGTCTGACCCTGCAGATATGTGAGGCGATGCACAACGAATGAATTACCTGAGCAGAGGTGTTCGACAGGACCAAACAGACCGGCAGCATACATCACAGTGAATGGACGGAAAACGAGAGGAAAAATGAATGAAAAGGAAGGGAGAAGAGAAGAGGCGATCAGACACACAGGAGCAAGCAGAAGGATGAAAGGTAGAAAGGAGGATGGACAGAGAAAGAGGGGAGCACTTTTAAAATGTGAAGCAGGAATGAAGAGAGTAACAAACAGTGAAGGAAGGAGGCGAGGAAAGAAAACGAGAGGAAAAGCCTAGAACGTGACAAAAAGGGGAATAAGAGCGATGAGAAGGAGGCCATCAGCGGCCCGTTTCTGTCTGCATTGTGTCAGCCCCTCGATTCTGAAATATTCAGAGGAGAAACTCATACAAGGGACGCCTCTCTGAAGTGCCGTGGAACATCATGCGCATGTCTGGCAGCTTAACGCTGCGTGAAGCTCACAAGTGGCAGAGGATGAGGATGAGGATGAGGATGGGCAGAGGTTCTGCTTCTGTGCAGTGTCTGGCACCCCTGCGGCACGCTCAGCTGTGACACCTGGTCAGGGTGCAGGAGTGTGTACAGTTGACCCTCGCTACTTTGCGGTTCGTTTTTCACGGAGTCGCTCTATCGCGGTTTGTTTTAAGTACAGTACTGTACATAAAATCCCCCCCCCCCCCCCCCCCAAAAAAAAACCAACAAAAAAACAAAAAAACAAAAGCACTGCCATTTTGTATTTTTCCTTCATTAAGCCTTCACTGTTTTGCCATCTTTCAAATCACTTCTTGGTCTGTTGCCTTCATACATCTCCTCCTACATGTCTCTGCGTGAGTGCAGCTACAGCGTCCGCTCTCAGGACATAATTACCTGCAGTGTCCCCTCAGTGCGGACTGAACTAGGCAAAAGGGCCTTCTCCTACTCCGCTCCTGTTTCCTGGAATATCTTGCAAAAAGACTTGAAGCTCTCGACCTTGACCTCTCTAAGAGATTTTAAACATCTGTTAAGTTCCTGGCAAGAACCAATGCAGACATGTTCCTGTTTTTAGTTTATACACCGTCTTACAAGCTAGCTGTTTTTTCACTTTTCCTTTTGATTGACCTTTTGGTTGCCATTTTATTTTAACTTGTAAAAAAAAAAAAAAGTACGCATCTTTTATGATTGTCTATTGTTGTCTTTGTTGTCCACTGTTGTCATCACTCGTTAAAAAAAATCAGGTCTCGCTTGTAAATGAGTCCTGGAGGCTCAATGGGATTAACCTGTATAAATAAAGGTTGAAATCTACATTACCCAGAAGCCATCAGTTCACTTCCCTGAAGTCAACACTGCTTCCAACCACTGCTTGCTGCAAACGCGGGGAAAGTTTTACAACCAAAGTCAGAAGTAACGATAAGACGCTCACAGAACTGGCAGGAAGAAGGTATCAAATAATTCTGAAGCTGAACTCATCCTTCAAGTTGTATCTTCACTGCTGAGCAGCTGCAGCTGATCTGGGCTCAGTGTGACCCAGATCCTGGGAGCTGTAGGGAGCAGACGGCTGCAGGCTTCAGCCTGGTTCTGGTTGCACGGTGCTGGTCCGGACCAAAGGCCAGAGGTGGTGGATTAAATCTTGGAAAGCCTTGCTCCTGGAGCAGCAGCAGTGGGCCTCAGTCATGCTGCACCGGGACTTTTTTCATCTATCTGGTCGGACGGAACCAAGCCGCTCCTGTTCTGCAGAGCCCTTGTAAGTGAAAATTTGTAGCTCCTGTACATATAAGTATGTATGTTGTTAAAATTAGTAGGTTTAAGAGTTTAGAGGACTGATTGTGGGCTTCATTGCTGCAGGACAGTTCTGCAGAAACTAACCAAGTCGGAATAGAACAGAGTTGGACCAGAACCAGAGCTGTTCCTGTTCTGCAGAGCGAGTAAGTAACATTTAGTAATATATGTTGTTAAAATTACATAGGTTTAAGAGCTTAGAACATTCCAAGAGTGTGGGAAGGGTTTCTAAAGCCTTAATATAACGTTTAAAGTATTTGAACTTGAACTTGGACTACTGCATCCCTACTTTGTGGTTTTTCACTTATCGCCGGGCTTCAGGGTCCGGATCCCCCGTGATAAACGAGGAACTACTGTACTCCAGGATCTGTCTTCATTTCAGAACACGAGGAGAACAACAGCAGCATGTTGAGAATGATGACAGCAATGTGGCGATGGTGAGGAAGATGTGAGGATGAAGAAGACGACAAAGTGTGCAGACGCTAATGCTGATGGTAATGAGGGTAGAAACAAGGTCAAAGTGAGACACTGGGGGGTGTACGCAACAGAAGACAGCAGAATGCAGCAGAGCAGCGCAACCACAGAGAGGAAGGCTTCCTCTGAGATCTCTGATCACACACGCATACACACACAGAGTGCATATCAAACTGCACGTGCTCAAAATTCTGGATTTTAATGCTGCTAATCTAACAGAATTCTTCCAATTACTCAATTACTATAACCTGGGAAATGTAAAAGAGTGGAGGCTGGTGGAGGCCCACTCTGCACCCTTCTTACTTTTCATAATGTGCCCAACTAAAGCTAATTAATGCTCCTACACCCAGTTGCTAAAAATATATATATTTTTTGGCTAGAAAACTATTTGTTTCCTGTGCACCAACAGTATTGTTGAGGCAAGCAAAGACTCATTAAATGTTCTCATCTCAATTAAATCTATTCAGTAATTTTCAGAGCATTTTTTGTGGATTATATGAGAACAGACAAATGTATTGATTAATAATTATACAAGGCAGTATTAATTTGTTTATTGCCGTTCTTTTACAGCCATTACATCCCTGGCACCTATAGTGGAACTATATTTGAAAAGTGGGACGTTGTTTTAAGGTTTAAATATAGGCCTAACCTGATTCAGCTGAGGTTCTGGGATGACGTCCACATTCACATTTACATTGTGTTGCCACCAGTATATGTTGGCTCAGCTTCCTGCGTGGTGTAAACTGGAAGAGTGAAGCACCTGAACAGAACTGACTTCAGCACGAACGGAGACGAAACGCTGCACGAAGCGCAAACTGGGCCGTGATGACGAGGTTGAGTTTAACCTCCGGTGTTTCCCTTCAATCATCTAAAATTTATCACATCTTTAAGCTGCCTCTGGGCACCAGAAGACTCTCTTCTGTTCACTTACCTCCTCTTGACTTCTGATTGAAGTCATATGTGAGGGAATTTGGTAAACACCAACAATAGCAGGATTATAATCAAACCCAAATGAACGAGAGCTAAAAGCGTATTAGGGTAATTAGGGAAGTTGATGATTTATTTTACATGACTTGAAACAAATTATCTGAAACGTACAAGTGCTGTTATCACTTGTTGGATCATTAGAATGAGAAAAATGATTTCAGATGTCACATCCACACATGATATTTATGTTATTAATCATAATAAAATGACTCTTGCATTCAATTTGAAATAAGTTTTACATACTCTGTACATGAAAAGATTTAGGTGTTAAATTATTTTATTATCTGAAATCTATCTGCTAATGAAGAGGTGGCAAGGAGCACAATTATAGAGCTACATTGTGATTTTTTTGTAAACACAGAATATTACAAAAATAAAAAAATAAAAAATTATTTATTTTTTTCATATTTTCCTGTCATGTTGATACTAAAGGCGTTTGCCTGCATAGATTTCTTTTCACGCAGTGGTGGAGTGTGATTCCACCAAAATGGCACCTGGCTGAATTTAGTACTGACTGAGAAAATAGATGCAGTAAAATTTCTGCCATTTTTTTTTATAGAACTACTGTCTACAATACATCTGGTTTTATTGTAACTGATATATGAATTATTTTTTCTGAAATCTCAGTGCCAAATTTTTTTGATACTTGCCAGTATAATCGATCTGATGAATACAAATTGTGCTTGAAACCTTTAATGATTCACAATTTAAAAAATGTACCATGACTGACAACAGCAAGCGCATTGTTAGATCAACATGGAACTGTTTTTACTGTTTTTTCAAACAGCACAGGTAAACTTTTATTCATCTCTTTTTGTATTTTCACTGGCAGCAGTTCTTCTTTTTCGATATGTTATACTGTATCTCATAACCTCATTATTGTGAAACCACTTGTGTGTTAGATCTAGATTAGACTCCAGTTTGTAGAGATGATCTGTTTAGATACAACTGCAGCATTTGGTAAAATTCTTGTGCAACTTTCATCGATGCATCAAACGTAAAACAACGTGCAAACGTGTCTTTTGAAACTGTATTAAACACATTCCCAAATGTTAAAATTAAAAATAATAATCCAGTAAATCTTTATTTCTGAGCTCCCATGTGGCCACACCTCTTAATATGGCTTAATGACACGTGTGCGTATTTTTGCTACTTTCTTCTGTACCGCATGCAGTATGTCTTGTTCTCACCTGTGAGCTTCCCCTAACCAGCCCACTCCCTTTTTCATCTCCCCGTGGAAGCAGCCTCACCTCACCATGTAAAAAAATTACGCCAAAACTCTTTTATTCCACTTCACACAACGTTAGCAAAGCCTGCATTGATGCAATTTCAATAATTGTCGCCTGACTTTCACAAATGTCCTTGTTAGCATGCTGAGCTCAGTCTCTGCCATCAAATTAAAAATGAGTGATTATTATCAGCAGCTACAATAAAAAGACTGCTCTATGTGCTTGCTGGGACAAGACATGAGTTAGCGACCAGCAGCCCTGACCAGCTTACCTGAAATGTTTTCATCAGCGTCACCTCCTCAGCCCCGACCTGTAAGTAATATCAACCTGTGAAACGGCCATTCTCTCTCTACGCTCCACTTCGACATCAATCAATCATGCTATCTGAACATGGATCATTGGTGCAGACTTAATCTGCGATGGACAAAAGTAAACTATTGTGATAGACAGAGGAGAACGAGGAGACCGTGGAGGACGACAAAACGTTGCATGTTGAGCAGAGGCGTGTAGAGCGGCACATGAGAGAAAAAGAGAAATCTCATCCTGTCCGTGGCTATCTGCTACCCGGCGGGACTTTGCTGCACTGTGCATACCAACATGGACTCAAGGGGAGACAGGAAGGTAAAAAAAAAGGAATAGAGAGTGAGGTAAGGGGGAATGCAGCTTAACCCTTTGACTTTTCCGCTTATCAGCTGCATGGACTATCTATAAACCTCACACGCCTGCACACTGAGGAGAAAGACTTTGCACAGGCACTTGGATATTCAGTTTGCACTTCAATGCCCTCCTCAAAGTGACCTGTTACTTCTAGCGGTCACATTCAATGAAAACAACTTGCAGAGCTTTGTGTCCAGGAGCAAAGCTCTGATGTCATAATAAGAACAATTATAGTGTAAATTAGAGCCAGCTAAATGCCTCTAGAAACATCTGTCTTAATGAGTAAGTATTCAGTGAACGGTTTGGAGTTTTATTTAAATAACATGGACATGTTTGAATACCAAGTCACAATCTATGCATTTTGTTGTTTTGTAACTTCTCTTCACAAAGTCCAAAGTGCTGCCCCTGGACAACATGTTCCTTCATTCCAACAGACACCATTTACCTTGGGTTCATCTAATGTACATCTTTCAGTTATTGTTAAAGGCAAACAAGAGCAAATAAATCCTGCTGTCCATCTAACAACAGTCTCCCATTAATGGCCAATCATTCCTCGAGAGAATGCATATCACCTTTCATACCTGAGCTCTTATGATGGGACATGACTGCATTACAACCGTTTTCTTCAAACTCTGTCAATGGCATTAGCTCAGTCTCGTTGCATTATTGCATACTGTTATCTATGTAGAGACAGAGAAGTATTGTATAGGAACGACGCTCCATATCGAATCAAATTTTATCTCAGTATTGCTAAATTTGATTACGTTATAGTCATTTTTGTGTTTGCAAAACTTGATTAGTCGTCATCTTAAATTGGACTGTCTTCAAAAGTTAATCAGTTGTAGATGTCCGTCCAATGACTGGTTTCTGAGAGTTTAATTAAAATAAACTCAGTGGTTTTTAATATATTTATCTAAAAGACAGATGACACCCCCCCCCCCCCCCACACACACACACACCCACCACCACCACCACTACCACGACACACAAAACTAATATAACTCTTTCTCCTTTGGTAGTGGGTGAGTACAATGATGCGCAGTTTAATGGTGTTTTTGTAACATTTTGTTGTGCACTACTGGAACTGCTTGTCCATCCATCCATCCATCCATCCATCCATCCGTCCGTCCGTCCGTCCGTCCGTCCATCCATCCATCCATCCATCCATACATCCATACATACATACATACATACATACATACATACATCCATACATACATACATACATACATACATACATACATACATACATACAT